ATAATGGTATCATTTTTTGTTGACATTGAGTGATAATTTTTGATACAACATGATGTGATAATGTTAAACACAAAATTCATGTACATGGCCTATCTAAATGCTCTTCTAAATATTGTATCAAACATTTACTTCATTATTTTAATCAGTCCAAGACATTTCAGATATTTGGGCTTTTGAATTAAGTGTCCTTGTTTACTTTACAAGCCCGGATAATGTACTGTTAACAAAGTCTTTCAGATGTATCACTTATAAGTGATGTGATTTATATGGCTAAATAATTACAAAGAACAAAAACAAATTATATGGTTAATTTACTTGCATCACTACTGGTGGTTCAATTACAAATTGTGCGACTACTTCCAAATACTGGACTTGTTTGGCGCCCTCAGTGGTGCAAGTCTAGGTTGTGTCCAAGCTTCTAAACTTGTTTACCTCTGTGGTCAAAGTCTTGGTCATACATTTATATCTCAATTTATTTACCTTAATGGCTACAATTAATATAAATAGTGTTACGTCTTCCCCAATTTGTGTTGGTTAAAAATACAATGTGGATAACTTATTTTGGAGCATTTTTAAATAACTCTGTTTTAATATCTTGGTAGAACAATAGAAAATGATTTATTGTAAAACAGAAATGTTTTGGTAGCAAAGAATAATGTTAATACACATTAGACTGTCAACAGTTCTCTGGCTAAATTTGTTTCCAAATCCATGAAATACCTCAAATTAAAACACCAAATGTGTTTTTCTGAAATATTTAGCGAAGCGGACACACATTTTGAAATGCAAATGCTGTAGTATATTCATTTATAATCTCTGAAACTTGTACTCAATCCTTGGGATTGGATCTTAAAAAAAGATTAATTTAGTTTTCCAATGTGAGTTTAATCCAGTTCCATGTTCATTACCAAAGCGTATATTAGTGTAATCTGCAATTACCAACATCTACATTCAAAGTACAATCTAAAAGTATGTCTACAATGATTTGAAAGGTTGTTTATGGGGGTCTGATTGCAGACGTAAAAAGGGTATCCTTCCCTATTGGGTCGGAATGTAGTTGTTTAAGTAAAATTGAATTGTGTTTCATTACATGTTTTTAAGTGCATCATCTGGTTTTAATTAATGCAGAGTGGGAACAGAATATTTTAAATCCATATCATACTTTTTATTGAATTTGAAGGTCTTATCAGTTAAATATTTATCACATGATGCCGAAGGCTTGGCTGATATCCTCTCGTTTCAGAGAGAATTTTTATTTAGGGATGCAAGCAAGTGTACACCTTTAGTAATATATCACAATTGGAAGTATATCATGTATTGATTGCTGTAGTTGTGTTATGAGTGCAAACAATATTTTATATATTATATTGTAAAAAACTAGAGTAATATAAATGTTGTATTTGTTTTGTCAAAGAAAATAAACTAATATGTTGCATATGTTTTGTGTCATCTGTTGCTATGTGCATATTAATTATCTAATTTGCATGATTGTTCCACTGATGTCTCAAGAACCACAAGAGCTTTCAATGAAATTTGATATATTGGTCCATATTAAATACTTAATTTGCATAATTACCTTTTTTAGTCCCTGCCCCAGATTGAATTCAGAATGACCTTAACTGGTGCCAATTCTCAGTACCTTGAATACAAAACGTGTGCGTCTTTGGAATGCTTTCTCTGTTTCGCGCATTGCATCACAAGAAAAGGTCAACATTTGCATAACTCGGCCGAAGAACTGATTAACGCTCTTCCGAGTGTTGTAAGGGGTTGTCCAAAATATGTTGAAATTTGAGTAAGTGCGAATGTTAAATTTTATTATTACTTAGTTCCATGCGGTTTAGTCGCTGAAAACCGTGAAATAAAAATAATCTCACCAAAGTATTGAGATGTAATAAAAGTTGCATATTAAGTGAACTGATTTTAAGTGGACAAAAAAATAAATCTAAATGATCCTTACTTGGCCCCATAACTAATCCAACACAGGAAAAATAGAATACTGAATAACAAAATATATTTCCCCGGAAAAATAACAGTTTATGTGAGCAAATGATTCCTATTTCATATTCTTGGCCGAACAAGGGTAGCAAGTTGTATTTCTAACAATACTGGTAGGTTTCGAGGTTTAACATATTGGCCAATTAGTATTGCATACATTTTGATGAGTAGTTTGAATGGAGATGACACATTTAATGTCAAAAAGACGTGGAATACTGCATTTCTATAATTTTATTAGGTGAAAATACACAACACACAGAATGGCAGACATGACTATACTTCTATGATGGCTTAACTGACAGTTCATTGCACCTTATTTAGCCGTTCAGCAAAAAACACCATGCACTGTGCATAGTTTGTACTGTAGAATACAAAATGTGTCGCCCCTGGAAGTTTGAAATTCACGTGATTACTGCCAAATCAAACAGTATTCAAGGTACTGAGAGTTCATGTCCATCGCACCTTGACTGGCCACATTCAAGCTTTTATAAAACATCTATCAATTTCATGATAGAGTTCCAAAAATTCATTCAAATCGGGCATTTCTAGTTCTCGGTCCAGATCTTGCTCAGTAGTGTAGTCAGTAAAACCACTGAACTCTGCTTTGAACAGAGCACAAAATGTTGCATGTGTAACAACAAATTGTTAAGTTTGAATACACATACTTTTTACACTAAGACTTCATTTGTCTGTGTAAATTTTCCTGCATTTGTGTAATCAAGAGCACAAACACAAGATTTCAATGGTACCTCAACAGAAAAAACAAATCTACATCACTTTTGTAGTCCTTGAAAAATCACTCTGGTTGTGATTGGTATGGTTACACTCACACATTACGTATCAATGGAGGGCGCACCATTATTTATATATAGAACGTGATTTCTATGTATCACATGTAAATAGAGTTTTTGCTTTACTCTGACAATGTTTTAATGATGCAAAGTTGTGCACATTTTTTTTTTTAATTTTTTTTTTGTGCCCGGCGACAGTTCTGGACATTGATTGTCACTGTTGTCTCTCCTGACTTTTTTATATGTGTAAGTTGCAAGTTCTGACATATACAGTTGTGCACATTTAATGAACAGCAACTTAAGCGACCAATCAAAAACTGCAGTTTGACACCCATATCATTATCATAAAAAAATGCAATTTATTCTATTGACAAAATGTTAAAACTTGCGAAACAAAAACAGAATGTTGGACTAAATAGGTAGTCTTATCACAATCAACACTTTCTTACTGTGCTGAACAGTAATGTGAATTGCAAGGGCTGTTTTTTGTGTGCATCATAATGCACAGAAAATGAAGATTTATATTAAAAGCAATGTTTGCCAATAATTCTATTGAATCAAACATTTATTGGAATAGTTGCGACCAGTTAGATTTCATAATTAAATAAATCATCTAATATTCTATCAAGCTTGAAATAATGAAATATACATGCAAAACTGAAGATAACTGACGAACCTAACAAATATTTGTCATGTATTCTAAACATGGAGAGAAGAGGAGTCATGAAAATATTTAAATCAAAATTATTTATTTGAAACATTTCATTTACTCAACTGCAAAACCTAAACGCAGTGAAAATAAACTATATCTATCATATTGCTTCCACTTTCAGTTTGGTTTCAGTCATGAGACACATACTCCAATCAATTCTGAGATATAATGAAAAGCCCAAATGCCTGTTGATTGCCACCTACCCATTACAATACATCAAATCTGTGTATTAAAAGATTTAGTTGACTGAATGGTTCGATATCATTTTGTCACTTCAATCACAGGTGTAGAGTGACATGTAAATTTCATTCTGAATGCTGCGCTAAGTTCTGTAGTTTCATCAAGTACTACATTGACCAGCTGTCTAATCATCTATGACATCTCCATACTTATTAACATGCTTTCCTGTAAAGAGAACAAATAAAAAAAAAACAGTAAAACAAAAGGTTATTAGGCAAGCATGACAACCATTCCAACAAAACAAAGATTACTTGACCAGCAAAAGATGCTCCAGGCAGAGAGCAAACAACTTGCCCAGTATCCCACATATTTTCGTTGGATGAATACCAGTTAAAATAAATATTAATATTTTGCCTGTGTACACAGTCAGAACAAAAGACGTCTGATGATTACATGCACACTAAACTACAAGTAACTGCATGGTGGTATGGTGGTAAATGCAGTCAAGTACCTGCTCAGTCAAGTCTTGAAGATAAGTACCTGCAGCTGTGATAATAACCTGCAGCTGTGATAATAACCTGCAGGACTGCAGGAGAAATAGACAGAGACAACCCCCCTACTGTAATGCAGCAGAGAAAGAGACGGGTAGTATGTGAAGCAGAGATAAATATACCTGCAGTAGAAGGAGATCCAAAATATTCATCTGAGTTGAATTCGTTAGACTTTTTTCCTGCTGTAGTAGACTGCTCTGGTGTTCTAGAGGAACTAGGAAACAAACCATAACCATAGCTAGATGGTGCCCGCGATTCTTGGCGGTGTTTTTTTCTCAATTCTTCATAAGTTTTTGGTTTCATGACTTTTTCATCTTCTGGCAATGGGATAGGACCAAATGCTGAAAAAATACAGATTAAATCAATTGACAGTGTGCTAGGAACAACGTAGTTGACTATTTGTACCATTTCCCACCTGTCACAGTGGATCCTTGCACCAGTAACTATCTGCTGCTCTACCAGCAAGTAGTGTGTTCCCTTCTGTCAGAATGTCTATCACATTGTCTACTTCACAAGGTTTCCATTATGTTTGTCATATTGTTCCCATTATACCTGTCACATTGTCACAATTATACCTGTCACATTGTTCCATTTATACCTGTCACATTGTTCCCATTATACCTGTCACATTGTCCCAATTATACCTGTCACATTGTTCCAATTATATTTGTCACATTGTTTCATTTATACCTGTCACATTGTTCCAATTATACTTGTCAGATTGTTTTATTTATACCTGTCACATTGTTCCAATTACTGTAAAGGGGGTAATTATTCACTGGGTTTTAATTTAGCTTATTTCGCTGACTGGAAAATGTGCTAAATTAAAACCCAGTGAATATGTAAAATTTAGCATAGAACACATTATCTAAATGACGAAACAATGAATTTAAAACCCACTGAATATGCCTGAAATGGTAAATCAGTGAAATTTAAACCCAGTGAAAATTAGTCATTTTACAGTATACCTGTCACATTGTCACAATTATACCTGTCACATTATTCCAATTATACTTATCACATTGTTCCATTTATACCTGTCACATTGTTCCATTTTACCTGTCACATTGTCACAATTATACCTGTCACATTGTTCCATTTATACCTGTCACATTGTTCCATTTATACCTGTCACATTGTTCCAATTATACTTGTCACATTGTTCCATTGATACCTGTCACATTGTTCCATTGATACCTGTCACATTGTTCCATTTATACCTGTCACATTGTCACAATTATACCTGTCACATTGTTCCAATTATACTTGTCACATTGTTCCAATTATACCTGTCACATTGTTCCAATTATACCTGTCACATTGTTCCAATTATACTTGTCACATTGTTCCATTTATATCTGTCACATTGTTCCAATTATACTATCACATTGTTCCAATTATACCTGTCACATTGTTCCAATTATACTTGTCACATTGTTCCATTT